TCCGTACTCCGTACTCGTCGTCTCTCTCTTCTCTCTCTCCTCCCCCCCTCCCCTCTCTCTCTCTCTCTCTTTCTCTCTCTCACTCTCTTTCTTTTTCTCCGTCGATCTCTCGAGAACGTTGACATTGGATGACACTCGATGCGTTCTGTCATTCACAAATAATTATTTTTATTGTATGTGTGAACGCATATTGAATTGTATGAAGTAATGTAATCTTGTTTTTTTTTTTTGAGAGTGAACAAATTTAATTGTCCTGATGATACGACGTAAACTTGTACAGCAATTTTTCGTTAATTTTGGTAATCTTTCTTTCTATTCTTTTCCCATCAATCATATATTACGATCTGCGATAGTACGTTATTTGTATACAAAGTTGCGTTAACAGAAGGCGAAGATCTAACCAAAAGTTATTTTGCAAATAACTTGGTGCGGACATCTCTTGTTCTCGCAGGCATCTTGCCGGAGCTATTTTATCAGAATGTTGTTACGGAGCATAAAACATTTTATCACATTTTATCTCCCTCTTTGCTTCGAGTAATATCTTCCCTCGCAGATGAAACGTTTCTAACCCATTTACGATCTTGCAGCAAATAAAAAATGAAGTAATTTAGAAATAAACGACTTGAAATATAAAAGCTATACCGAGGGTGATACCAATGTATACCCTCTATTTGGTTCACAAAAAGATTCAATAAAGAATTATCGGTGCTGCGAGTAAAAAGTTTTCAAGTAGATTTCCAATGCCACTCTAAAAAGAACTTCTTTTGTGCTCCATTCAACTGATAATGCTCTCGTTTATAGGATAAAGGTGCACAAAGCAAAAACGAAGAAACATGTTGGTTGGAAAGAGAGACCAGCGAAGCATTCTGTCGGAAGTGGATCGGATGTCTCTAATATATCGATTACTATCGGAGACTAAGATTCTGCACTTTTATATTAAATGAACGCATCATCCCTATCTCTTCGCCATATGAATCAGCAGTAAACTTTTCCAAAAAGTTTCCGAGAACTTTGTGCTTATCTCTCGTGCTTCCATTATATTAATTACTTGAGAGACATTAAAATATAATTTTTGACAGTAGAATATTTATCTATGTATGTAAAATATAATTATAAGTATATCGTAATTTATTTATATAAAATTTGTGTTTAATAATTTATTTATTATTTCCCATCAATCGACTTCGTGCAGAAAGTTAATTTTTCACATTCCCTTTTGCAAAATAATAATTTTTTTCAAAAAGGAAAATTATTATTTTTATCCCAACTCCGCAAAATATTTTTCATATCGCCCGAGAAATAATTCTACTCGCACTTCTGAGTCCTCCCTCTCGCGAAACCCTCTTTTAAATTAAATCGGTAATATAATGATCCTGGGGACTGTTAGGCAATTTTTCATCCCTCTTCTTGCCCTTGGTGAAACCCTCTATATCTGCACTCGAAGCGGAACGCTATTCGTCCGATTCGCTGATAAAACAATTCACACATCGAGAAGAATATCGTCTCAGTGTTAAATAAATATGTATACGACTGGCGGAGTTAACATTTAGAGAATCTCCCACAGGGACGCTTAGGAAAGCCTCCTCTTGCTTTTTTTCTTTTTCTCCCCCGCAATTCTCTTTAATTTACCTTCACTTTAGATAATGTCGATCCTAATTATTTTGTGCTTTATCTCTCTTTCTCCCGTTTATCTCCTTCATAAGCTCTAGTAGAAGTAATTTGCAACAAGATCTGCTTTCTGAAAAATATTAAACGTAGGAGCATAATGTTCTTTACGACTGGTTACACTACAAACAATGCGGATGATGAACCGCAAATATATTTTTTTTTTTTATACTTTTCATCTTTTCCGTTTGCTTTCCTTCTCCTTTTTCCTTTTTCTTTGTTATCAGTCCCCTTCCTCTCTTCTTTTTCTTTCTCACTTTTATTCTTTTTTCATTTTTCTTTCTTCTTCTCAGTTCTGAGTATCTCTTGACATAAGAACTTCAATTACGTCACTGTCGTACGAGTGTGCGAATTTTATTTTCTACATCACCTTTCCGCACAGATACGATATTTACGTATGTACAAATTCATACCGTTTATAAGCACAAAGCGCATATAAATTCTGCTTATGTCAATGCATTCATATATACATCACATGAAGGAATTAGCGAGATGTCTCGCGTAGAGTATGATTGCTTTGTAACTGAAGTATTTAGCGGGTTTGTTTTACGACAGAGTTTACACTTGGAAATGCAAACTCTATGCGCGCAGCGGTGTTGGATTTCTCATATTTTCACAATTGCTCTTCTCCCATGTCACGGTTGCCCTTCTTCGCGTAACGCGGCCGACGTCGGGGGTTAATGGGAAGCTCCCAAGTCAGTGAATTGATTAATAAAAATTAGCCCGCTGGATTGACAGTAACATTTCTCGCACAAGCGTTAAATGCGCGGAAAATTTAGCGTCTGGACAATTATGCGGAAATTTATGTGCAAGTTTCCGACATACATCGCTCTTAATTCACAGCTGAGATACATATGCAGATTCCTGTACGGACCCCCCCCCCTCTCCCCCCGCATGGTTTTGCATTACACGCGTGCATGCAGCTATAATCTAGTACGCGCATATGCATGTACACGAGCGAGCATGACGCACTGTTATTAGACGTATTATGCTTTTGCCCGCGATAATTGTAAATAAAGGAATAACGCAAATCTCACTATGATGATATCGCGGAAATGTCGTGAAGTCAGTTTAACAATACAATAGAGCCTAGATGTCGTGTGACAGTGGAGTTTAAATAAATCATTTCTCGATTTTGAGTTATGTTTAATGCATATGTATGTGTGTGTGTGTGTGTGTGTGTGTGTGTGTGTGTGTGTGTGTGTGTGTGTGTAAATTATTTTATTTTCTCTTACAAATGTCAAGTTATTCACATTTGAGAATAAATGCCGAGGAAGATTCCTCTCTCAGAAAAAAGGATTATCTACTTCAAATCTTTTCAGTCTTTTTCAAGCAAGGTTAATTGACCTTTTTTTATTTTCATCTTATACATCCTGTGTTATAAATATTACGACTATTTATAATTTGTATTTGTGCATATATTTTATTAGATACACGCGCCTATACTGTTTTAATTAAATTGAAATAGATAAGAGGAAAGCAAAATGAGAGAAAGAGCAAAATATTCCATATTATAGAATAGAGCAATTAACCAACTCAAGAAATCTCATATAATAAATATTATAATAATAATAATAATAATAATAATAATAATAATAATAATAATAATAATAATAATAATAATAATAATAATAATAGCTTCAACCCAAAATAGTACAATCGAAATTTTTCAATTTTATGGCTGCAAATTTAGAACTCTCACTGACATACATACATAACTGGCGAATATCAATCGTCCGAAACGCGTGGAAAACACATTTTCTAACGAGCAACGAGGACATCGATGTCCTGAAAACGGCCGAAACTTCAAATCGTGTTTACCCGTGAGAATGGAAATAAGCGGCGAGATCGTTCGGTGTTAAGTTAATAAAAAATGAAATTGCTCACTTTGTACATACGCCGATGGTGAAATCGCATTGCACATTGCACATTGTTTTTTTAGCTGTAAAATATTTTTTACCGAATAATATAAACGTGCGTTCTCGATATTTCTTTGTAATACAAACAATACAAATAAATCAAGGAATAGTTAGTTGATTTCGTCAATTTTTATTTTTACAGTTGGGAAGCTTTCCAATTTCCAAGTAACTTTACTTTCCGAGTTTACTTTACAAGTGATGTTAAAGGTAAACGTTAAAAATATATTTTTATTTATTTATGCAAAATTTATAATATTTATACATGAGACGTCGACGATGATTGCACAGAGATAAACTATTTCCGTCGACTCTCGATGATTTATTCAGATATTAAATTTCGTATTTCGTAGAATGTGATTTTTTTTTTTACCGACACTTTTTTCCGCATTCCCTGGACACATTTTACTCCGTACGGTCGATGAAGCTCAATCCTATCATCAGATTCAATTTCAATTCGCAAAATGTCCCGATAAATGAGAAATACCGAGTGGCGACGAATTGTCAAAGGGTTTGGCGATGACAGATGAGCGAGGATAAGAAGAGAAAAAAGAAAACATATTAAATCCGTCTTTGTACATACCGTGCTCACAGACCCGAAAAATTTTGTCACTGTGGAACTAAGATGGATCGCTGCTTGAAGATCGACGTCACACTTTCAGCCAGTCATGCTATTTATAAGCTTTTTAAGCTTGCCGTTACTTCAATGGATATTTATTATAATAATTTAATAAAGGTTTTTCATTTACGTGAAAGCGACATTTGATTTAATTTTGCTGCGTCCCCGATAGAATCTCACCTAAGAATATCTATTTTCGTTTGTTATTATAATGTCATAACGTTGAGGAGCAAATAACAAATTAAATTG